CTAATCTGTTAAACTCAAAGTTAATCGATGAATAAAATTCGAATTTTACAAAAAACCGTATTTTTCCGTTCATGCTATTTCTGTTTCCTTGATTTACTGTATAGAAACATGGTCCGATTCATTCGTTTTTTTAAATAAAACAGATTGTCAACTTCAATTAAAACAGACATGAAAATATATGCAACAATGTCTTGCATTAACAGAGTATTTTGATATAGTCGTCATTTTCATGGCTTTCTTCTCACAAACCAAAATGTAATAATGTTAATAGTTATAATCATCATATTCATAAGATCTTTACAAAGTTGATAATTAGGCAGATAAAGAAATATAGATAGACGTACATTACAGAAGCAACAGCATGTGGCAATTATAATTTCATTTTACAATGTATATTCACACTCATGAATAATATGTGAGTGAGAAAAAATCAATCTTACAACTGCTGCTGCTACTGTTGCTTCTCTTGAATCACGGAAGCATGGAATACTAAAGAGAATAAACAAAATAAAAAAAAAATCATATTAAAAGGATGCTCTCCACATATTATTATGTATATGAAAAATAAAATAAAATGTAATTAAGTAAAGTCATTCAGCACGCTATCGCCTTTTACGTCAAGGATGACCATTTTCAAAGATTGAGTGTATGCACTTATACATTTCTTTAATTTCATGTTGGAATGCTTAAATTTCTTCATATCTGCTATATTTTGCCATACTAGCAGAATTTAAATTCCATTATGCGAGATGTGAGCGCACATCCAAATTTAAAACACAGCAATTTATTTATGCTTAAGTCTATTTAAGGCGATACATCGTCAATAATTAAATAAAGCAACATGAGAAAATGAAGAAAAGTTTGATATTTTACCAGTGGGATTTTTGTCATGATACCTTATCACTTTTCTCTTTTAAAACCTAAGTATTTCTATCCACGCATTGAATTACATGATACAGTTTTAAGGATATAGTCAAAAACAGATATAAAGAGGGTCTAATGGTGTTTGGACTATTATAATGTTTTCTTTAACTTTAGGATTTGTGTCAAATAGTATCACATCCTCACTGGAAACATTTTTATTCTTTCATCCAACTCTTCTTGTTAATTTTATTTCAAAAAAATTCGCTCATACTGTGAGAGGAATTCAATCCTCTCTTATTATTACTCTTTTTGTACAGAAGCGCATTGCCTTTAATTGTATGACATCTTCATTATAACTTATATTGAATAATATCAGCGATACATTCCGATGTGCGAATGTGGAATAATTTCAAAAAAGGAGAAATATTATCGTAAAAGAGCGAATAAATAAAATAAATATAGTAAGTGCAAGTCATTCTTGATCATAAACAGATAATTAAGTAATTATCTCGTTCAAGCTGATGCTTTTCATTTTCATCAATAAATAGCAATTTATTTTTATAGATAAAAGTGTGATAAATCGAAAGGCAGAGGAAATGTTTAAATGAGATCTATTAAACACCTCTCTTTGAGAGGTCAGACTATGAGTAATTAAAAAAAGATCAAATGTTTTAAGAACAAGGTAAAAGAGCTTGCATGTCATCATATTCCATCGCTTGGGGTAATTAACAGTGCTAAACTAATTACCTGCCGTGCAAATGTGCTGCACAAATACACTAATATAGTAAAGATTTCTGCATGAGATGCATAATAAAATTAAAATATTGTATGAATCAAGTTATTAAGGCTATCGAATCATGCACTGAACAACCGACAAAGATCTTAATTAAGTTTTTTTTTTGGTTGAATGTCACTTTATGGGCTCATTGCATGTGACTTTTTTTTCTCCTTTATAAAACACATTCCTAATGGCTTTTTTATCGCCGAAATGAAATGAAGAAAGATTCCATGATTTAATTTAGATTGCATGCATTTCTCATCTTACTCTCTCTTTTTATTATTGTTGCTGTTGATTTTTGCAATTTAAAATTTTCTTGTCTTGTTTCGTCTTGCGCATACATAAACATATTCTTCTGACGCTAATGGACAAATAATTAAAATCCAAGTAATTAAATAAAAATTATCGTTAATTGAAATCACAATTTACAATGCGAAATGTAAAACGAGCGAATAACAGTGAGAGAAAAAGACATAAAAGTTTAATACAACAAACAATGCACACACAGCTGCAAACGGAAAAGTGCAAGAGCACAACGCAGGTACATTAAATAACAACAGGCAATTGAGAGAATAACGAAACGAAAAATGAATCTAAATGAGAGATCTGCTATGCCAATGAACATAAAAGTTAATAAAGCAAATCAATTTAGATGAACAACAGATCAGAATAATCACAGATACAACTATTAATTGTATCATAACATACAATTCAAAATGATTGAATAATATCTTTGATATTGGTATTGCTTGTAGCTCTTAAATGCTTTCGTAAATTATGAAGGGCTTTTGTGTATATTATTCAAGAAATATGCATATAAACTACATAAATATTACCCATGATAAAACTGCAATAGTTATGATGCTGTACATGTTGCACGTAGCTGCTAATTCATTAGCACTTTACAAGTTTTTTTTTTAATTTCTCTACATGTTGAAACGCCATAGAGGGATTCATTAGAAAGTTATGGAATCCATTTTTCCAAAGTGACAAAATCATCGTCCAAAGCCCCAAAAGCACTTGCTTGGCTTCTTGTAGACTTTATCCTAAATCTAGTCTATAATTGAAAATTAAATTTGTAATTATTAAAGAAACAAGTTAATAAAAACCGTTTTTCAATCTGAATAAATCGTAAAACATTCAATGTGTTTTGTACATTTAGAGACCTCAAAACCTTCACTAAATTAATTCAAAATTCATTTCAATCGATTTTAAATTCACCATTAATTGGTACATGACTAGCAAACAATTCCTTCTCTCACGTTTATTCAATTTTCATTGCAATTTAAATGAAATTGTTTTAGTAAGTAGCAAAGTAAATTAATCTGCAAGTACATTTCAATTCACTCTGCAAAGATTAATGCTTACAATGATAATTTCTGATGTAAATTGTGCGATAAAATTTTTTGTTGTATTTTTTTTTCATCGAGCAAAAAGAAAAAAAAATCTTTTATTTGTGTATGTTTCATATGCAGAGCAGATTTCACATTTTCAGGTCGACGATAAGATCACACAGACAGGAATGCTCTCTTAATTGAATTGTTATTACAATTTAATTGTAGACTGACAACATGTAGTTGCCGAGTTTGGCGACACTTTATTGGCATATATAAATAAAATATATATCTATCCATGTATAATAAAGAGAGATTTAAGTCAAAAAGCATAGCGATGAGGGAAATAAAAAAAAATTAAATAAATATAAAAAGTTGCTTCAATATTGCAATTAAATCATTTTAATTAAAAAATATAAATAATTCAAGTATTCTCGCTTTCCGATCGATGACTTTCAATTAATGTCGATGTTTTTGTTCTTCTTACTCTCTTTTTGTGCTACCTGACATACATGAATGAATGTATTCATCTCCATATTTAACCCAGTCGGAAAATTTTCGTACAAAATCCACGAATCTTGCAAAAAAATATAAAATAATTAATAGCATATTATGAGAGTTTAATTTACGCAATAATTTATGATAATAATACATATTTAGTTCGTAAAACCTTTATTGTCATATCATAAAACTATCTTATGTGTCATTGCTAAAATTTATTTTGATGGACATTGTAATTTATATAATTGAACTGATTGAACATTTTGCGTTTTTATAATTAAGAATGCCGATATCCATTATTCTATATGCCAGTGATTCTCAAACTATGAGCTGTGATTTATTAGTGCGCTAGTATTTCATAGCACGGATTTGGGTGTGTCGCAAAATTTATTTAAAATTTTCAATGTGTCACTTGCTGAAAAGTTTGAGAAACACTGCTACAAGCTACAATCACACAGTAATATAAATGTGGAGTATAAAATTAAACGAAAATAAAGCATTAAAAATAATTGCTTGATACAATGTTGTAGTAAATAATAAATTGATGTACCAATACTTCTGTACAACTTACTGAAAAGTTTTCACCCCTTGCAGATCGTGCAGGTGAATAGTTTAATTAAAAAGTATTCTGCTGTTCATATTTTGGTGAATAAGAATATTGATCGTGTTAATAAATTAATCAAAATTACGGTACGATAATTGGAAGGTACAGATTATTGTTGTTTATCCGAAAACTCAAAATTGGATTTTGGAGAAGGAAGATGAAAATTTGATGTTATTATCCAGTGCATCTCTGCACATTATTATTTATTATTTTCTGTCTGTATTTCTGTAATTTAATAACAAAAAAACAACATCAAACAGGAGGAGAAGAAAGAGAAGGAAGAAGAAAAATTATTATTTTTTTGTATAGTATAAAGGCAGACCAGATAATTATTTTTAAATAAAATAATGACACGATTCTTTTGACACAATTTTTGCATACCTCTAAATTAATTTTAATTCAGTAACAATGAATATGGACATTGAAGTTTCCAAAAATCTTATACTTTTCAAATGACACTGCGACATTGCTAAAAAACCAAACAGATGGTTAGGCTAATTGTATGACGATCTCATTGTATACGATCAACAGCAGCACTTCATTTCGTTAGGCTATGATACGAAAATGTATTAAAAAATTGATGCAATTAATTATGTTTTTGAGCACTTTTCTCTGTCATTACCATTATTTGTGCCGTTGTTCAGCTACCAGGCTGTCTGTAAGATCGTATATATTAAATAATTATGTAAATGACGGGTAACATAATCAATTACGCATAATCAAGAATAAAACAACATTTATCAATGAATATTAGTGCTCAAAACTAATTTCTTATCAGTTTCATCGACACAGTATCAATAATAATAATAAGAATTTTCCTTAATGGCGCTACTGATTACGTTGATAATTTTGACACGATTTCATAAACAATTTTAATTAATTTTAATTTTTTATCCTTTCATTTTTTTTTTCTTTCCAGACTAAAATACAATAATAATTAAAAGCGAAGAACATCAAAAAGCCATCATTAAATTAAAATATATAAAGTTAAAAAAAAATATAAAGTGTTTTATAATTAAATCTCAAAATTCTCAACATCGATCGACTGCATTCTTTTCATCAGCCCAGTATGGGCATATCAGAAGACACAAAGCTGGAGGATATACCGAGAGAAGGGCGCTCGCCACAAGACAGATCGAGTGCGACAACAAGTCTCGGTGGTCATAGTCCGATGTCTGATCACAGTGATGTTGATTTAGACAATGAATATCCACAAAAACGGAAACAACGTCGCTATAGGACGACATTTACTAGTTTTCAATTGGAAGAGCTTGAAAAGGCATTCTCACGAACTCATTATCCCGATGTTTTCACGAGGTAAATTGCCACATAACTTCAATTTAATTAAGAAATTTTTATTTTTATACTGTCCATAAATGACATTATGAAATTCCATAATTGTGAGCATCTCTTTTGAAGAGAAAATTGAACATTTACGTATATACGTATATGATTTAAAGATATTGAGAGAAACACAACGAAAAAATTCCACAGACAAGCATGACAATAATATTTAATGATAATTTCTTACTTTAAAACAAACTTCTTTTACAAATCGAGTGATGAAGTCAATGGCTCTAAATTACTTCTCAATTTACACAGATCTCCATTTTTAGATGTCGATGAAAGAAATCTTGTTTTGATTTTTTTACTTCTCCTTTTTCTGCCTTTTTTTGTCTTTCTTTTACTTTACCGCTTCTTAGTGCTGAAACAAAATAAACAAATAATTTTTTTAACTACTTTAAATCTTTTCATACAGTATCTTGTGAAATAATTCCTGCAATTACAATTTCATACTTTTTATTTTAATTTGATTGACATTCATTACTTGATAGATTGATTAATAGTAAAAAACTTACTTCATAACTACATTGTTGCTACGTGATTTGCCTATAATTTCACATTAAACTGCGACACATATAATTTATAACGACAGTTTATAACGCAATGGGAAATTAAATAAAAGTATCATTAAATGGCTATTTTATCGCTAATGAATGAATGTATGGAAAATCAACTTCGCTTTTTAATAACACTTTGAATTAGATCTCAATCACTTAATGAAATGTTTCTATGAATTTATGGTAAAATACAAGTAGCAAGTAGTAATCTATTTATGTTTAATTAACTAGAAAACATAATTAATAATTCTATCTTTTTGCACAGGATCGTAACGATGATCCTAGGTTCTCTGAATAAATCATTTGAAAGTTTAACCCCTTTCCATATTGATGTCTGGACTGAAGACACAACTGTAATTAGTGAATGATTGCTTAGGAATGTTACGAATGATCACTGCAGTTCATTTTTTAAACGTTTTAATTCCCCTAGTTTAGACTAAGAGGTCCCTTTAGAAAGCACAATTGTTGCTCCAATAGCTTTATATTTATCTTTTATTTTGTGAAATAACGAGTGTTGAATTCCATGATTAATGATCAAAACGTTTCTAACACTTCCTTTAATTTTAATTTTCTGGTGATCCACGAGAAACTTTCATTATATTATTTCTTGTTTGTTTTATCTCTCAAACAAAAAAATGAGCTTACTTACAAAAATAAATTATGTTTAGATATTTATTTGAAGATTCTTGCCGAATCATGATTTTAATTAAAAAACTTATAACTAGAGGAGTAAAAACCATAAAATATAATTTATTTTCAAACGAGAGCAAACGGCAGACACAGTAACTTATAAATTGATGTAACTTAATTAAGTTTTTTTTTTTTACTTGTAATTTAAATTTTCTCTTATTCTTCTCTCAGTATCTTTTGATTTGTTTTAAACCGTAGCCAGAGAATGAAATAACGTGGACTTTAAAGCTAATTTTAACTTCGTTCCTTTTTGTTATTCTTTATCAATTGATTGCCGATACACATGATCAAGTTGTTGAATGATTTATGTGTGTTGTCATGACGAAGAAGCTTCTTGTCTTATTCCTTCTGGCATGAAACTTTTGTAGATGCTCATAATGTGATGAAAAAATTGAAAATAAAATCATGAGCACGTTGACTTAACAATACATTAATAATGTTCATTTACAATGTTCATGGTTATTTTTCGCTTTTTCTGTCGCTCACAAAATTACATTAATTTTTTTAATTCAATTTCTGTGCGTGATCATCGTCTAACTCATTCTTTTTTTTTGTTTTTCCTTAAACATGATGTTATCGCGCCTTCTGTGGATCTCTTTTTAATAACATTTGTCCATTACTAACAGAGAGGAACTAGCGATGAAGATTGGATTGACTGAAGCACGAATTCAGGTAGGTGAACATGTGCATACTTTAACATTTATCACATCATTCTTAATTACATTTTAATTACGGCATCATGCAAAAAACTTGCCGTCATATGAGTTATAATTTTTGCATGTGCATGCTCTATATGAGACAGACAAAAAATGCTGTTCGTTTACAATGTATTTTGATAAATTTTACATGATGTTATGAATTATTAATATTTTGATGATTTTGGGGGATGGATATTGTAACTTATAAGTATCCAATAAGTGCAAAACTTAAAACTTTAACATTAAGCGAGTCTTATCAGTTATAATCAGAAGCTTAACATACATACAAGCTTTCACTTCTGTGAAAAGTTAATTCACATTTTTCTCTTTAATAACATTTTGTTGCCTGTGTATGATATGTATATCATATACTGTTTAGTAATTACTTTAGTAATTATTATGTGTACATTAATTTGCAAAATTAATAATTAAACTACAACTTCGAATAGAATAACTTCGATTGGATATCAGAATTGTTAACAAATGTTGATGTTCCAAATCTACCACAGATGCTGGTCTCAAAAAGAATCTCATACACAGTCAGCTTCAAGGCTTTCATTAAAAAGAAATTGTTACACGTCGATAAGAGAAAAACTTTAAAGTGATATTGTTTCAGTCGTCTTTTCCCTAATTCTATCTATATCAAAGATACCAAGACTGAATAGGAAACTGTACAAATTTATTTTGCCTTGTTATCTTTTCAATGTATGGATTAATATATAAGACATAAATAATGTTTGGATGTTAAATAGAATCAAATTGAGAAAAAATCCAGGAGCCAAACTCTATTGCCTTCAATTAAAAAACTGCTTCTTTATAAATTAAACTTTATTTTGAAAAAGTTTTTTGCTTTTAACGATATTTTTTTTAAATCATCATAGATTATCGGATATTAATCAGTTGCAACAGTTTTCTAAATATGCTTTACATTGTTGCAAACATTAAGAAAATTAATAAAAAAAAGTAAACTGCTTGTGGGCAATTTTAAACAGAATTAAGCTCTTTAAATAAATTTACAAAAAAAAGTAAACGATTTAAGCATTCACTCACAACAATGTTTGAACAAATTAATATCATTATGGAAAATTATATATAATATTATGCCTTGTGGCTTTTACGCGAGAAATTTCTTCTCTTTCTCACTTGCTCATGAAAAATAAAAAACTTCTAGGCAAAAGCAATTTTGAAGCAGAAACAAAAATTAGCTCTTGTGATGTCTCAGAATGATCACGCGATAAACTCGATTGAAACTCTGTTTCATAGTGGTCCACAGATTATAAATCTTTTGTTTAGTCCAACTTATTCTCTGTTTTCAATGATGCAAGCAGAAGCGATCGTTTTGCAGTGAAAATAAAAAAAAACATAAAACACATGTACATGTCATTATTAATATTCTTCTTAAAAACTCAAAACATATTTTATTGTGTGACCTAACCAATGCAAAAAATGTATAAATACAGTATGATGAATGTGCATTTCTTGAGAGAACCAAAAAAAAATATTTTCTTTCCGAAAATCGTATAATGACTTCACGGGAATCGTTTATCCAAATTAATTTTTAGACACTGAGCAACAGCAAAAAAGATTGCTTTCTGCTGCAACTCCTGCACAAGCCTCAATTTATTTTCTTCTGATGACTTTAATGAGTATATCAAATTAAATAAATTAGAGGCCTTCGAGGCCTGTTTTGCCTTTCCTTTATCGTGATGCTACGGCTTCTCATCATTATGAATGATGATTAAGTTATGTGATTGCCACTGAATTTAGCAGAAATTATATTGTTGCAGTTTAATTTCATTTCCAGAGTTCTTTATCTGATAATTTACACATTTTGTATTTTCATCTTTCTTTACCACAGGTTTGGTATCAAAATCGTCGAGCTAAATGGCGAAAGCAAGAAAAAGTGGGTCCTGCTGCTCATCCGTATAATCCCTACTTGGCATCGGGAGGTACACCTGTTCCATCAGCCTCGGTTGTTGCAAGTTCATTACCTCCAAATCCATTTACACATTTAGGATTCAACTTAAGAAAGCAATTTGATGCTGCAAGTTTAGCTGCATTTCGTTATCCTCAATTGAGTGGAAATCCAATGGTTCCATCAGCTTATTTTAATCAATTTCATCGTGCACCACCACCACATCTTCTTCATCCTGGTATGGGTGGTCTTTATTCACCTGCAAGTGCATCATTTCAAACTCTACTAGCAAATATATCTGCAGCTCAACGTCCACCAACACTACAACAGTTCTCAACAAAATCTCCATCTGATTATTTATCATCGATTCCTGTAAGTTCTGCACTCTCAGTGTCGCCACCAATTTCACCAACCGATTCAAATAAATCATCAACTTCAGCACCATTGACTCCAATTAATGTCTCATCACCAGCTTCACAAATATCACCAAATTCCTCAGTTGCTGCAACTCCAACAGTTCACAACTCATCGCCACCACCAGAAGATCGTCGAAGTTCATCGATTGCAGCATTACGTCTGAAAGCACGCGAGCATGAAATGCGACTTGAAATGATGCGTCAAAATGGACACGACGTTTTAAGCAATTAATCTCATTTGACAGTTAATTATCAAAAAGTGAGCTTACTTTCCTGTTTAAATATCCGTACAAATTAGACATTTATCAGCATCGCGAATAACCTTTTAGACTTATAGTTTTCGATTTGTATCCGCTCACTTTAATAAGACTGCTTGTTGAGTTTACATTTATTTGTCAAAATTATAAAAATAATAGTTTTGAATTATAGGTAAAAAGATTTATAATTCATTACAAATGATTATTGTATAAAAATTTATTTAGTTGTAAGTATACAATTATGATGATGCTATTAATGGTATATATGAAAAGGCAGACTAATATTCAAAGAACATTTTTGAATTGATATCGAATTAATAATGCCTTAATAATAAATTATGATTCATACTTAAGTGCACTTTTGTGAAAACTCACAGAACCGTCCTATAGGTAGATAAAAGATACTTAGATTTATAAATAATTATTAGAGCATATAATTATAGTTATTTTAATATTTACTTTATTGCATACTTTTCAACATTATCGAATAATGAAGTTGCAATTTTTCCTGCGTCTTATTATTTCCTTCTACAATGTATTTATTTAGAATAGCATAAAGGTGAAGAATTTTTCATAAATTTAATGGAAGCTCAATCTTTTATAAATTGTCTTTTCAGAAAAAATAATAATATGAATTTAAATTAAATTTCTATTAAAAAATTTTAACTTCCAATTAATAGCCAAAATTCTAATTCAAAACCTTTAAACAAATATTAGTTTATGAAATTTTGCTTATCTGTAACTGCTTGAAAGTTCAACAATAAAAAACTATTACAAAAAAAATATATTTAAAAATTTCTTTTGTCTTTTTTCTCTGCTTCTATACGACATAAGATTCTCTTGAATTTCATTTATAATTTTATATGTTTTCAGCCCAAACAATGGATGTAAATCATTTCAGTTTCTCTTTACATTTCATTGTCACATAAAGGGTAACCACAGATATGAATAAATATGAAAGAATTTTCATTATATTGAAAATAATAAAAAGAGGAAATTAAAATAAAATGAAAAAAAAGTCTTGACTTGAGTTAGCGTAAATTTATTTATTTTTCATCTCCCGTGGACTTTCAACTTGTAAAAAGCATCAGGGAGCGACACTTTTTAATACAAAAAATACAAAATTCTTGCTTGATTTTTTTACTTGCACTTTATTAAAATTTATCGAAAAATGCAAAATATACGAGGAAAAAATTGACTTCTTTAATGGGTCGAAATTTTTCATTGCTGCACCTTTTGTATGATAGGCCTTTACATGATATCCAATAAACTTCTTCTGCCATGTTCATTTGCTTTTGATTTAAAATAAATAAAATATTTTACTTCATTTTTTCATCAATGAAATGTTAAGTCATCGAATCTCCTCGTGGGTGGTAAGATATTAAATGTAAAAAAAAAATATTTCCCACTTTCAGAGTAATCATATTTGAAAAATACACAAAAAAGTTTATTCATTGAAACTGCTTAAATTTCAAAACATTTTTTTCTGAATTTCTAAGATTTCAACTTAAATTTACATTTTTGTCTTTATTTCCATAGGTTGTGAACTAATGCTGGATTTTTAAGACTAGAATTGTCAATCATGTAAAATATTTCCTTGGATCGAACTCGGTCACTTAAAGTCTTAAAGAAAACTTAATCAAAAATCGGACACAACTCGTGGATACTTTAAAAATATAAATATTGTTTGTTTTATATTTTCCAAAATGTCTACGGTTCATGCAAATTTAAATGGAAACTGAAATTATTAAATTTTATTGGTTCGTCAATAAGCTAATTAAGAATTATTAAATATTCATAAAATAATATAAACTGAATTTGTAATAAAAAATTAATTTTACAGCATATTCTAAATCTGATTAATTTAATTAATTAACCACATTTATTGATTAATCAAACTCTGCCTACTTAAAGTAAAACTGATTATTCTTCCTCGAATATCATCCTGCTGGTAATATTTATTTAAATCAAATTATACTTAAAAAATTGCAATATATCATCATTTATAAAAAATATTGTTTGTTAACATGGATCATAATAAAACTCAAATTCCTATTAATATTCATTTTTATTTTGGGAGTTATTCGGATATTAAGTAACACTTAAAATTATAATTTTTAATATATCCTCGTAAAAAGTTTAAGTAAAGATAAAGAAATTTGATGTATCTGAACTCTTAGTTTGCTTTTTTTTATTGTGTGACATTTAATCAATAACTTTCGAGTCTTTTAATAGCTTCAAAAAATTACAATAATATTTGATATAGCAAAATAAAAATTTTCTTAAACTTTTGTAACAAAAATCTTTGTTAAAACTTTGCAGGCATTTCCAAAATTAAACCAAATTTTATGTAGAACCAGAGTTATCAAGTAAAGCTTTCAAAATTAAACTTAACTTACTTAACCTTTGTTGTATATTACTCTGAGACCTCTTTATTATTGTTTTGGACAGTGCCACTTTTTAGTGTTACTATAAGAATTTACTTTGCCAAGTTGCCATTAGTAGAACAGCGAAAAAGTACCACAAATCCGACCAGATATTCTCTGAATTGAACTCTAACCACCACCCTACTGATGCTTTTTTGTTGCTTGACAGCCATGTTTATTATTTAACCGTATTTAAATATTAGCAATAATGAATTGTAATGAATGACATTAATGAACCAATATTAAATCATAACTAGCATAAAAGCATCAAACTTCAAACATGTTTCGTTGATTTCTATTAACATTTTTATGTCAAAAAGCTCATTTAATATTATTTAATAAACAATCATGAGGATTTATGACCCCACAAAGTTGCAGTTTATATACCTCTCTTTCTCTATCTCCCGTTTACAGGTCATTTCAATGGTATTTTTTTTTCATCATCCGTTTCGTTTCAATTCATTTAATGTTACAAAGTTCGAGTTCATTTTACCTATCAATCATTATTAATTAACTGCATAGCATGCAATATGATGCTGAAATAAACTGCAATAATAACAGCAACAACAGAAAAAAATGTATGAAAAAAAATAAGAAATTGAAGGATGAAAATTGAAATATTTGATTTTAAAGAGATGCCTTTTTTCCTTAGCTTCACAATTCATTTTTTAACACCACTCATTAATCTACATGCAGGTACAAAAAAAAATTTAAGTAATAATATGAGTGAATAAATAAGCGAGTAATTTATTACATTGTTTGGATCATAAGTCATTGAAGCACTTATGGACATATTCATAATGTATGTGAATATATAGAAGGGATGCACGTAGCAGTTATGGATGTTGAAGTAGCTGTATAATGAGAAGTTATTGACTAAGAAATGCATGAAGAATGAGGAGCGATGAGAAAAAAATGTAAAGCAGACGATAAAAAATTGTACGCAATTAATAATTGAAAAGCTAATTGAAAATTACTGCCACAAAGGAATTTTTTTAACGAAAAGAAATGGGAAACTTTTTGGGTGGGAAGCAGCTGTCTGAGTTATATTATCCAATGGACTCCTTTGTCATTATTTGTGTTTTTGAGTTTAAAAAACAATTTTGTTTTAGTGCTTTGAATCAATTGTATTTATTGGCATTAAAAATATGAATTAAAATCTACAAAAATGTTTTATAAATAACAACGCTTTAAATTTTTTAAAAAATAAATTGCATTTTATGTTATTATTTAAGTTATCCTAACATCATCTTGATTAATAAAATAAATTAACCTAAAATTAACAAATTTTAAACATTCTTTCCATCATCATTTCCATTATGTCGAATCATCTCAAGTCGCATTTCATGCTCGCGTGCTTTCAGACGTAATGCTGCAATCGATGAACTTCGACGATCTTCTGGTGGTGGCGATGAGTTTTGAACTGTTGGAGTTGCAGCAACTGAGGAATTTGGTGATATTTGTGAAGCTGGTGATGAGACATTAATTGGAGTCAATGGTGCTGAAGTTGATGATTTATTTGAATCGGTTGGTGAAATTGGTGGCGACACTGAAAGTGCAGAACTTACAGGAATCGATGATAAATAATCAGATGGAGATTTTGTTGAGAACTGTTGTAGAGTTGGTGGATGTTGAGCTGCAGATATATTTGCTAGTAGAGTTTGAAATGACGCATTTGCAGGTGAATAGAAACCATTCATACTAGGATGAAGAAGATGTGGTGGTGGTGCACGATGAAATTGATTAAAATAAGCTGATGGAACCATTGGATTTCCACTCAATTGAGGATAACGAAATGCTGCTAAACTTGCAGCATCAAATTGCTTCCTGAAATTAAATCCTAAATGCGTAAATGGATTTGCTTGTAGCGCGCTTGATGTTGCTGAAGGTGCAGTAGGCATGTATGAATTGTAAGGATGACCCGATGGTCCAACTTTTTCATGTTTTCGAAACTTTGCACGACGGTTTTGAAACCAAACCTGAGAAAAATAGAAAATAAAAAGATTTAAGTAATTGATCTTTTTGTGAATGATATTTTATAAAGCTGCGGAAATTACATTCAGTAAGCAAACTAATCATAATGTGCACTTCAAACATAATATTTTTTAACACTTTCATTCATAATATATCTTTGTGGTTTTGCTCCTCGACCATTTTCCACACTTTTTTCTGTATAAATCTAATTATATGCTGTCATCGTCTGAACAGTAAAATAATATTTTCTTCAATACATTGTCGTTGACTGTGCAAATATTTGAAAGAAACCACAAAATAATCTTGACCAACGTGAGCAAAAGTATATGTACAGAAATATTAAAAGAAGAACCAAAGAATGAGCAAGTCTTTCTTCTAATTTTCGTCCTCCAAAAATTGATTATTTATATAGATTTATTCTTGTATACTTTATAGACCGTTAAAAAATTTAATGCAAATTGAGTCTCATAAATTTCAACAATTTCTTTTTTTCTCATAAATAAGCAGTTTCATAAATATATTGATCAATAAATTATGAGTCCAATTTAAAGTCGACTGCAAAACACAGATTTACATAACATAGAACATGTGAAGTTGTTAAGTGTGTTTCAAATGACAAACAGCCTAAGCAAAGATTGGGAAAATGAAGTAAACAACAGCAGCGCCTACACCAAAAAATTATATGACATCCATTCGATCGATTGCTTGGCATGAATAAGCTTTATATGACTACACATGTAAATATGCCGCACTCTATGTGCTGCATTAGACACCTAATAGAATCAACATTTTTTTTTTACTTCATTTGCATAATAAAAATGGAATTTTAAACGATGAACATTTTCTTTTATTCATAAATAGTAAAATTTTATTGATATTTCTCGAAGGTCATTCATTTATAACATCCCAAATTCAGGCTAATGTTTGAGTAGACAAAGAGGTATCTAAAGCAGTGTGATATTTTTAAGAGACAACATTATAAACTCCCCAATTGTCAAAGACATCACTGATAAAAAACCCTTTAGCGGCGTGTTGATTGAAAGAAAAACAAAACAGCATCAATGACCGATATGTATGTCTATTTTTTAAAATAAAATATCCGACATAATAAAGTCTAAATATTTTCATTTTAATCTATTTAAGTTAAAGCAAAGGAAGAATGAGTTAATATGACTTTACCACCTGAAGTAACTCAGAAATAACACAATAAACTTCGTAAATTAATTTATTAATTGGCTTAGACCAACTCGTGTTTTTGAACGGGGCACGAAACTAGGACGGCTTTATTAAAGGGGCGAACAACTTGTGGGTAGCAATCACTACACTCCTCCACGTTAAAATTGCTGGTAGTCTGGGAAGCTGTGCTCGAGGCTTTCTCTAATGATTCCCACTATGTAGTCCTTGAGGTGGGTTGGAAGCTGGCATGCGGTTGACCGGGCAGGGCGTGAAGTGATGGCTTGCTGTGGTTCGGCTGATGGTTGGGCGATCACCTCTGTTGGTTGATTCCTATAGTCCGAATTGGGCTCAAAGTACTCTGCAGCGTCCTCAAAATCACTAGAGCCGTGGCTGATGTTTATGTCTGGGGATAACGGTGTGTCAAAGTTCATACTTGGTTCAGCAGAATCGACTGTGTCGTCGTTGACTGGAGGAATGGCATCAAGGGTGGTTGTCGTTGACCTGGTTGTGGCCTTCTGTGGAAATAGAGGAATCGAAATATCATCGCTAACTGGGGTTAAGGTCGTTGGTAGATCACGTGCGAAGCGATGTTTAAGTTGATTTGTATGTGACATGATGACACGATTGTTCACATTAATCAGGTAGTTTGCAGCACCTCTACGTTCAAGGACCGTGCCTGCTTTCCAAGTCCATGAGTTATCGCGATAGACTTTAACGTAGACTGGATCGTTGGCGCTGAAGCTGTGTGGGCGTGCTCCATGATGGTGATTGAACTGCATGTTCATCTGTTGTCCTGGTAGGTGATGTGTCTCGCTGTATTTTCGTAGAAGATCCAGCTTGGAAGGCATTTTTCTTCCGGTCATCAACTCAAAAGGAGATTTTCCATCCCTTGTAGAGCATGGTGTTCCACGATAAGCGGCTAAGAAGATTTGAAGTTTCTCGTCAATATCTCCCTCACCCTCTAATTTCTTGAGACCACGTTTCAAAGTATCTACGAACTTTTCTGCTCGGCCATTAGACTGTGGATGATAGGGTGCGGAAGTAATGTGGTCGATGCCGTTGCGATTGCAGAATTCCTTAAAGGCGCTGGAGGTGAATTGAGGACCATTGTCGGAGACGATTGTTCTACATGCACCCCATCTTGCAAACATTTCGTTGAGAGCGTTGCATGTTCGCGTTGTGGTGATTGACTGCATCCGAATGACCTCTGGCCAGTTACTATGTGCATCTACCACGACGAGAAAATAGTCCTGACCCATTGGACCAGCAAAGTCGATGTGAATTCTATGCCAAGGTGCGTCCGGTATAGGCCATGGATGAAGCAACTCTTTGATGGGTGACTTCGCATTGATTTGACAGTTGTGGCAGTGCTGAACATATGCGTTGACTTGTTGTGTGATGCCAGGCCAGAAACATTTCTCACGGGCTAGCGCATTCATTCGAGAAGCACCAGGATGACCAGAATGCAACTCTACGAGCACTTTCTTACGAAGCTTCCTTGGAATTATCGGACGATCTCCGAAGAAAAGGCATCCATCATTGAGGCAAATTTCTTCACGATATGGAAAATACTCAGCTACCTCTGAGTCGGAAATCTGTTTTCGAAGTGCTGGCCAATGTGTTTTGACATACTGCATGACCTTTTTGAGCGAATTGCATTCTTCTGTAGCTTGACGAAGGTCAGAGTAAAGAAATGGGACAGCTTCATTGTTGAGAATCGAAGGCTGTGTTGATTCGCCATGTTGATCACCTTCCCGAATATGAGCGATTACAAAGTCTTCAGCACCTGGTCTCACGTGTGTGTCCATCAGTCTGGAAACAAAATCAGCATAAGCAAAACTAGCGTTGTTAATGTACTTGACCTCGAAATCATAGCCTAATAGCGTGTTGGCATATCTAAGCAATCTGTTTGCCGAGTGAATTGGGACACCCTGTTTGCTTCCGAAGATCTTGAGAAGTGGTTTGTGGTCCGTGTGAAGCTCAAATCGACGACCATAGATGTAACGATGGAATTTCTTGACAGCATAGACCAAAGCTAGAGCTTCCCGTTCCACTTGTGCATAACGTCGCTCAGTATCATTAAATGACGTTCCTGCATACTGAATAGGCTTAAGCGACCTATCATCGCGTCTTTGCATCAGCACTGCTCCAATTCCATAGCTGGAGGCATCAGCTGCGACCACTAAGGGCTTTGTCGGATCGTAATGGGCCAAGGCAAGATCAGAATGAAGAGCCTGTTTGAGTCTCTTGAAAGCCTTTGTGCGAGCATCATTCCATTCAAACTTCGCATCCTTCTTGAGCATATCGTCGAGTGGACCTCTCAGATCTTTCAGGCCGGGTATAAAACTTCCATACCAGTTGATGGCGCCTAAGAATGCTCGCAACTGAGAAATATCTTCTGGTAATGGCAGGTCTCGAATCGTTTTGAGTTTTTCTGGGTCCGGTCGTTGGCCATCTGCGTCGATGATTTTTCCCAGAAACTTGAGAGATGATGCGCCGAACGTACACTTGTCAAGTTGCAATCGTAGTCCTGCATCCTCTAGACGTTTAAGTACATCCATCACTCGAGTTCGATGGTCATCGTTACCTTTGCCAGGTATAATGACATCGTCGAGATATGCAGTTGCTCCTGATCCAGCGAGGATTGTGTCCATAAGCTGTTGGAATTGGCTGGGGGCAGTCTTTACACCGAACTGCAGTCGATTGACTTGAAACAAACCACGATGAGTATTGACCGTCATGAGCTTCTTGGCTTCCTCATCTAGCTCGATTTGATGGAATGCGTTGGAAAGATCGAGAGTCGTGAATCGATCATTTCCCGCCAGTGTTGCAAAGATAGCCTCAGGCGTTGGCAATGGATAGTTGTATGATTCAATTGCCCTATTTAGACCCGTAGAATAATCAGCAGTCACACGCAGGTTTCCATTTTTCTTCTTGACAATTACCACAGGTGCGGCAGCAGATGCATAATTGACAGGTGTAAAGACTCCTTCCTTTACGAGGTTGTCGTACGCCTGCTCCACCATTTCTCGAACCCCAAACGCGACTGGACGGGCTCGAATGAAAGGAGGATATGCCCCTTCTTTCAATTTGATTGATGCCTTAAACACGCTACATCGACCAAGCGACCTAGAGAAGAGGTTAGGAAATTTTTCTCTTACCTCTTCCACAAGCGATGACTGTTGAGTAAAGACGTTGTCACAATATGTTGTAATAGGTCGATCCCATAAATTTAGTGCTTCGAGAGCACTGTTGCCGAAGAGGTTTAGGTCCCTATTGGAGACGTAACAGTCAACGATGCCAAATTTGTCACGTAGCTCAATGGATGCCGAAAAGAGACCTAAGACTTTGACTGAATCGCCAGATGCACTGACGGCCTGGACCGACGATGGGATGAGTTTCGGAGAGCCAATGCGACGCCAGTTGGCCTCTGAAATGATGAACCAGTCCGAACCCGAGTCATGAGTCATGTTAATGTATACGCCATTAAGCTTTGGACGAACTGTCTTACGACAAGACTTTGCTGGACGTTGTACTGTATGCACCTTCCTTGCAGCAGTGTGGTTCCTCTGACGCTCCTTGAAGGTTTTGGCCGAATCGCAATGACCTGGCTTGTGACCGATGACTCCACATGATGAGCACTTCTTCGTCTTGAAAGGACAGTCTGCATGCCAATGCTTCTCACCACAAAATCGACAATCCCATTTGCATGGACCACGATTAACCGCCAAAACATCCTGTTTGTTAGCTATAGAATGTTCGACGAAACGGCATTCCTCTTCCCGAATCAGCATGCGTTTACTAAGCGTAGCGATGTCATTAAGAGTAA